GTTGGTCCTTATGGAATATTTCATGAAGGTTCATCTTTGTGAAATGTTCAGTTTGATAGTTTTGAGTGTTATATAAAAATGTTTTCTATAATGTTCTGTGTTGTTCTGCACTATGCGGTGTACTGTTAAATGTTGCTATCAACATCTATTCTACTAGTGGCACATGGGTCTTGTCTTGGGTGACATCCAGTCAACTGGTGACAATGCCAATCCACTATAATTGAGTTATCTGGGAACAAACTTTGCAGCATTTTTTTTAATTTTTCCCCAAAAAAGTGCTTTCTTGGATCCTACCCTGTGAACTCCCTCCCACCCAGCCTCAGAGAGGCTCTTCCCCATTCCTGTTTCCCAATGTTCTGACTTTGAAAATTGTCAAGCATTCAATATTTAATCTAACTTGCTTTTAAAAACTGCATTAAGTGTGCCACAATCTTTTTCACATTCCCCTTTTTAAATTTTGAAAATTGGCAACTACCATGAAAACTCAAGAATGTGTTTGAAAGTTGTGCAAAAATTGGAGGAGAAAGCTTTTTTTATTTGTAACTGATCTAATTCTCAACAGTTCTCAATCCACAAAATGTGTAAATATGTTGAACATCTGTGGGCATACAACCCACACAAAATTTCTCAATTTAATAAAAATTGAGAAAATTTGAGTTCATAAAATATTTTCCTTGTTAAAACTACTGTCTGGCTTATTTTCTTGCTGAATCTGGAAAGTTGTCCTGTCAATTTAATCCACAACTATTGTCTGAAGTTTTGAGTAAATAAAATGTTGAAAACCCTCAGATATCCTCTGTCAACTTCAAGAATCTAGTGGCCTCTTGTCTTGGTTAAACTGTTCTTCAACCAAATTGCTGGAAAGTCTGAACTTTCTGAGATAATTATAGCAGAAGTTGACATTTTGGGCAGACAGTTCTTTCACAAAAAAAGTGGTTGCTTTTACTTGGTGTTTCTCCCAGTAGGAGTTGCCCTGTGCACTGCTCATTTCATGGGAAATCCTACCCCCTAAGTCTGTCATGCACCTGCTAGCAGGAGGGAGTTAAAGGGACAGGAAGTGAACCAGTGCAGGGGCAGAATGGTGCAGAGTTCAGAGGTGGGCAGTTTGGGTCCAGCAAGAATGATATCCATCCTATGGAGAAACTATCAGGACAAAATATTCATTATAAGAACAAATTATTGTCATGAGATTCATTGTCATGGAATTCAACTTGCTGTATCTATGTGTAATCAAATTCCAGCCTCAGTGACCCTTTGTTGAAATTATATTTTTACTTCTGTAAGGAAAAATTCACATTTCCATTTTGCAAAGGAAAATTAGGTCCATTTTTGTGCAGCATAAGGCCACAATGTGGTGTAATCCACATTGTGGATTCATGGCCCAAGTGTGTTATGGAAGAGGCTGTTGAAGTTGAAGAAATTGTATGGCAGATTGTCGAGACTGCAAGATATTTGGAGCTGGAAGTTGCTGCAGATGATTCAGAGGAGCTGATAGAAGAGCATGCAGAGGAGCTGATGGAAGAACATGCAGAGGAGCTTACAATGGTAGAGCTGAATGAATTGAACAAGAGGAAACAGAGAAAGCTATTTCTTCAGGGGAGGAGGAAGAAAACAACACAAAAGGACCCATGCCNCATCAGTGGTGTTTTGTGTTCAGAGATTGATTATCTTGGAATCTTTCAGTGCAGGATTCGTCTTCTTCACAAGTTCATGTTTGTGGAAAGCTTTAGAAGATCTCGCAAATGGAAAGTATGAGCCCAAGAAATTTTATTGGTGCATTGTGGGATGAAAGCTCTCTGAAATTTTGCAACCAGTTCTGGAAAAAATCATCCCAGGGTAACACTGTCCATGTGAGGGGTATTCTTTATATCCATGGAATTCAAGGTTGATTGAATTTGACAAATTTGTCTGAGCTAGAACAAATTACTGCTTTTGAAATTTAACCTTTAAAAAACAAGATTTATTTTGTAAAACTGCATTCCCCCTTGATATATCTCAAGTGTGATCATATTCATGAAGTGTTGTATTAATGTGATACAATATGAATGTGTGTGTGTGGTTGATGCTTTGCGAATTTAAATGAATGGGTAGAGAAAGATATTAAATCTTCCTAAATAATGTGTCTGCTATTGTGATGCCTGTGGAAGGAGGTGATACCAATTGTAATGAGACACTTATATTCAGGAATCTTCATGCAATGCTCCCGAAGGTACCTCCACCTAAGTTGCATTCATAAATTCAGAAGTCAAAAAAGGGTTCAATGGGACAAGAATGTGAATCCAAGTAAAGTTTCATGGGGATTTGGTCTGAAAGCCATCCACATCCAAGGCAACTGTGATCAGAATTGGCAGCAAAATGAGCACTTCATCATCCAGGTAATCTTTCAAGTCTGTGTTTATGTTCACAGGAATGTTTTGTTCAGTCATTGGTTACCTCTCCTGTAAGTACAAATTCTGAGTGACTTTTAATCCCCAATCCTGCAAATTGATATAAACACTTACGTCAACTTCTGTAGAACAACCAATGGTCATCGGTAATGTTCTCCATTCATTTTAGACCCTAAGTCCTTATTTTGACCTTTGGACCAACAACAAGGAAAACTAAATAAAAACCTTAAATTCAGATCTTAGTTTCAGTGGAGATGCTGCCAAATGTGTAAATGTGTATTGTTTAAAATGTATGCCTTTCTTTCAAATAAACAGGGTGTTGGAAAATGTCCCTCTATTTGAAATAGCAGGCAGTTATGAGTCAAGAAGTTGATTATGAAGGTAGTTCAGTATTTCTAAGTTTAATTTGGTTTCGTTTTATTTTTGAAGACAAGTAACACTTCAGTTCAAAGGTAGGTTTAATGAAAAAATCTTCATTTTTGAAATTTTCTCTGTATATAATTCATCAGAAATACTTGAAAAATATGATATGTTTTGGAAGCACTTTGAAGTATCTATTGCCTATTTCTTGCAAAATTTTAATCTAAAATGGGTTAAAACTGCAACAAAATTTGCATTATTGCTAAGTTTTCATCAGGTCCCCAGGAGTTTGTTGTAACAAGATTTTACTGTAATATGCACCCGCAGCAATGAGTTCTACGCTTTGACTGAGACAAGGGGAAGTATAGTTGTGATATCCTTCTAGATGTAAAAAAAAGCAGCATTTTCTTGAAGCTGAAATCTTTTGAAGTTCCAAGGTATCATTTCTTCAACTAAATTCAGGTTTGCTTATTTTTCAGGGAAAAAAGTGTTATCAATTTGTTGATGTGTCTGTTTGCTGCATTGAAGTAAGCAAGTGGAACAGGTGATTTCTCATCTCTTTTGCAAAGATTGAAGAAACTTGGAGGTAAATGAGTACAGACAATTGGGTCATATAATACAAGCAGTTCTTTCAATGTATTTTCTTTCTGACGGAAGGACAAACAAGTGCGATGGAGTTTGATCCCTTTGAAGATGAAGCTACGTGTTGGGGAACACGTGGTGCTCCGCTGGCTCTCAACTCGAACCGGGCTCCGATACTGATTCGAATAGATGGCGGTGCTTCTGGGGATTTTTCTGACAATCATGACAGTGCGAAATCAGTTGGCCTGGGGGTTCTTCCTGCCAAACAATTGATGAATGCTAATGAGGCGCCGTTTTCCGCGTTCCGACGGAAGTTGGCAGAAGTAGCAAAGGGTGGGTACGAAAAAATCTCAAAGTGAACATTCCTGGAGTGTGGGAACTTGTGTATTTATAGTGATTATTCGCGAGATTTGGATTTCGTGACAATGGGAAAAGTGGAGTATCAAGGGTCTGAATTTCCAAGTACTTCTTCACAGAAGCGAGTCTGTCTGTGTATTTTACATTTTGGTGGCATCGCAGTGAATGGCCTCTTTTGGATCTGCGCACGAATTAACATCAGTCATCTGATTGAACGACGTATCATTTCAAGATAGCCCCAAAGTTTCTTCTAGATTTTTCATCACAGTTCCCAAATTCCAATTTTGCTCACATATGGAAACGAAACCGAGCTGGTCCGACTTCCATCCATCCTTACCCTACAAAGCTTGTTTCTTGCTTTTTTTTCTTTTTAGGGAAGAACTCGGTTCGTGTGGCGTGGTATTTGAAAACGGCATGGGTTAAACCGAAACCCGTGTTGGAAGTTCCCAAGTCGTCGGTGTCAGTTAGTCGACAGGATAAACCTCAACTGCCGACTTCCAGAGAAGCAACCAAGATTGCGACTTTGAGGTCTCAGCAAAAGGGGGTTTCCAAGGAAGATATAAGCCACTTCATCAACCCTCCGCCCCCAGAAAAAGCGGCTAGTCCAGTTCCCAGCAGCTCCAACACGAGGTGAGTTGGTTGGTTGGTTATTTGATTACTGTTGAAGGATCAGGTTCATTCCATGTTGTTCCATCTCTCTGTATAGATCTTTGGTGAAAAATGCAAGTACAGAACGACAGCCTGCTCAGAAGCAAGACTCTTCTGCACAAGGCCAGCGCAGACGTTCGAGATCAAAATCTCCTGAGCAATCGCGTAAAAGGGCACGGAAAGAAAATGCCTCCATTGCTAGAAGCATTTCCAGAAATTCTCAACAGAACAAAGAGTCGACTGTGACAAAGGACACTCTGTGAGCATCATGCAGTAGAATTCTGTGGCAACAACTTTCTCTTTCTTGGTCATGGCAGCTTCCCTTGTGTTCAATGTGATCAACATTTCAATTCAACAAACTCATTTTAGGCTGTAATCTCAGTATATTGCATTTTTGGCTGTGATTCTGTGCATAGGCCAAAAGGATTAATTGTTAAATGACAGAAAAAAAGCAAAGGTGAAGCATTCAAACTTCATCAAACAAAAAAACTTGCTGCAGAGGGAACTTGGTGTTCCAAAAAATGCAAAATATTATACATTTCTTGGAAATTATTTTGCTCCATTTTAGAATGTATGACTTTCTTCCAGATAAAGAGTGTGTTGGAAAAAGTTTCCTCTATTTGAAAGAGGTATGAGGAAAGAAATTGATTCAGAAGAAAGTGCAATGCTTCTACCATATGTAATTTTGTTATTATTTTATTTTCCAAGAAAGCAACTTGTGAGTACAAAGGCAGGTTTAATGAAAGGAAAGTGGCATTTATTTCAAAAGTGTTCTCTTCATTTTGTTGGAAATACTTGTTAATTAAGATGAGTCTTGAGTTATGTTTTGGTAGTACTGTACTTGATGGTATTTATTGCCTATTTCCCAAAAAATGTCAGTCCAAAATTGGTTGCAAACTATTAATATCTGCAAAAGAAAATTTTATCTGGTCCCCTGGGGTTTGTTGCCATGAGATATTACTGTACTTTGATTTCATCAAGCTGTGATTTTTTATGTTGACATTCATTATTCATATTTTTTCTCTTACAGAATAAACGTTACAAAAACGACTGCATCAACCAGCAAGAATTCCAATAATAACTCAAATGTGGCGCCGAATTCTGTAAGGGTGACTGGAACCAATAATTCTCTGTCTGTATCAATGGGCCAGTCTTCAAGTGCAATTCTCCCTCTCCTTGCTGGAAATGGAGTCCCAGATTCTGCTACAGCAAAGAGTAATTCATCTGGTGCTGTTCCTCAAGCATTGCCAGTTCCAGTTGGCAATGAAACCAGCGTAGTTGCGGTAGGAAAATCGGGTGAGTTATCTAGAACATTTTCTGAATTCCGTCAAAGTGATACTTATTTTTGCTGTACTGGTGTACTCTGCCCTGTTCTACAAACAAGGAATAAATCTTCGTTACGCATTGAACTGGCAGAGAGGAATCTCGCATCTGTTGCTTCAGACCATCACTTCTCAGTTCAAATAGAATCCCATGCTTTGCAGGCTTCACAACTGGTTCTTTCACAAGAAANAAAAAAAAGCAGCATTTTCTTGAAGCTGAAATCTTTTGAAGTTCCAAGGTATCATTTCTTCAACTAAATTCAGGTTTGCTTATTTTTCAGGGAAAAAAGTGTTATCAATTTGTTGATGTGTCTGTTTGCTGCATTGAAGTAAGCAAGTGGAACAGGTGATTTCTCATCTCTTTTGCAAAGATTGAAGAAACTTGGAGGTAAATGAGTACAGACAATTGGGTCATATAATACAAGCAGTTCTTTCAATGTATTTTCTTTCTGACAAAAGGACAAACAAGTGCGATGGAGTTTGATCCCTTTGAAGATGAAGCTACGTGTTGGGGAACACGTGGTGCTCCTCTGGCTCTCAACTCGAACCGGGCTCCGATACTGATTCGAATAGATGGCGGTGCTTCTGGGGATTTTTCTGACAATCATGACAGTGCGAAATCAGTTGGCCTGGGGGTTCTTCCTGCTAAACAATTGATGAATGCTAATGAGGCGCCGTTTTCCGCGTTCCGACGGAAGTTGGCAGAAGTAGCAAAGGGTGGGTACGAAAAAATCTCAAAGTGAACATTCCTGGAGTGTGGGCTGAACACATAAATATCACTAATAAGCGCTCTAAACCTAAAGCACTGTTACCCTTTTCACCTCATAGTTCCCAGACTTAAAGGTTCATGAAGAAGTGTCTTCGCTCAGACAGACACATAAAATGTAAATGGTGGCATCGCAGTGAATGGCCTCTTTTGGATCTGCGCACGAATTAACATCAGTCATGTGATTGAACGACGTATCATTTCAAGATAGCCCCAAAGTTTCTTCTAGATTTTTCATCACAGTTCCCAAATTCCAATTTTGCTCACATATGGAAACGAAACCGAGCTGGTCCGACTTCCATCCATCCTTACCCTACAAAGCTTGTTTCTTGCTTTTTTTTTTTTTTAGGGAAGAACTCGGTTCGTGTGGCGTGGTATTTGAAAACGGCATGGGTTAAACCGAAACCCGTGTTGGAAGTTCCCAAGTCGTCGGTGTCAGTTAGTCGACAGGATAAACCTCAACTGCCGACTTCCAGAGAAGCAACCAAGATTGCGACTTTGAGGTCTCAGCAAAAGGGGGTTTCCAAGGAAGATATAAGCCACTTCATCAACCCTCCGCCCCCAGAAAAAGCGGCTAGTCCAGTTCCCAGCAGCTCCAACACGAGGTGAGTTGGTTGGTTGGTTATTTGATTACTGTTGAAGGATCAGGTTCATTCCATGTTGTTCCATCTCTCTGTATAGATCTTTGGTGAAAAATGCAAGTACAGAACGACAGCCTGCTCAGAAGCAAGACTCTTCTGCACAAGGCCAGCGCAGACGTTCGAGATCAAAATCTCCTGAGCAATCGCGTAAAAGGGCACGGAAAGAAAATGCCTCCATTGCTAGAAGCATTTCCAGAAATTCTCAACAGAACAAAGAGTCGACTGTGACAAAGGACACTCTGTGAGCATCATGCAGTAGAATTCTGTGGCAACAACTTTCTCTTTCTTGGTCATGGCAGCTTCCCTTGTGTTCAATGTGATCAACATTTCAATTCAACAATGAGTAAAATCCGACATTAGAGTCATATAACGTAAAAACCGACACTAAGACACGTATCCGGTTTTCCTAATTAACAATTTACTGTCTTTTTTTCGTTTCCACTTCGTAAGTTTGAAGTAGTTTGTTTAAAACTTGCTGCAGAGGGAACTTGGTGTTCCAAAAAATGCAAAATATTATACATTTCTTGGAAATTATTTTGCTCCATTTTAGAATGTATGACTTTCTTCCAGATAAAGAGTGTGTTGGAAAAAGTTTCCTCTATTTGAAAGAGGTATGAGGAAAGAAATTGATTCAGAAGAAAGTGCAATGCTTCTACCATATGTAATTTTGTTATTATTTTATTTTCCAAGAAAGCAACTTGTGAGTACAAAGGCAGGTTTAATGAAAGGAAAGTGGCATTTATTTCAAAAGTGTTCTCTTCATTTTGTTGGAAATACTTGTTAATTAAGATGAGTCTTGAGTTATGTTTTGGTAGTACTGTACTTGATGGTATTTATTGCCTATTTCCCAAAAAATGTCAGTCCAAAATTGGTTGCAAACTATTAATATCTGCAAAAGAAAATTTTATCTGGTCCCCTGGGGTTTGTTGCCATGAGATATTACTGTACTTTGATTTTACTCATTTTAGGCTGTAATCTCAGTATATTGCATTTTTGGCTGTGATTCTGTGCATAGGCCAAAAGGATTAATTGTTAAATGACAGAAAAAAAGCAAAGGTGAAGCATTCAAACTTCATCAAACAAAGAAACTTGCTGCAGAGGGAACTTGGTGTTCCAAAAAATGCAAAATATTATAAATTTCTTGGAAATTATTTTGCTCCATTTTAGAATGTATGACTTTCTTCCAAATGAACAGTGTGTTGGAAAAAGTTTCCTCTATTTGAAAGAGGTATGAGGAAAGAACTTGATTCAGAAGAAAGTGCAATGCTTCTACCATATGTAATTTTGTTATCATTTTATTTTCCAAGAAAGCAACTTGTGAGTACAAAGGTAGGTTTAATGAAAGGAAAGTGGCATTTATTTCGAAAGTGTTCTCTTCATTTTGTTGGAAATACTTGTTAATTAAGATGAGTCTTGAGTTATGTTTGGTAGTACTGTACTTGATAGTATTTATTGCCTATTTCCCAAAAAATGTCAGTCCAAAATTGGTTGCAAACTATTAATATCTGCAAAAGAAAATTTTATCTGGTCCCCTGGGGTTTGTTGCCATGAGATATTACTGTACTTTGATTTCATCAAGCTGTGATTTTTTATGTTGACATTCATTATTCATATTTTTTCTCTTACAGAATAAACGTTACAAAAACGACTGCATCAACCAGCAAGAATTCCAATAATAACTCAAATGTGGCGCCGAATTCTGTAAGGGTGACTGGAACCAATAATTCTCTGTCTGTATCAATGGGCCAGTCTTCAAGTGCAATTCTCCCTCTCCTTGCTGGAAATGGAGTCCCAGATTCTGCTACAGCAAAGAGTAATTCATCTGGTGCTGTTCCTCAAGCATTGCCAGTTCCAGTTGGCAATGAAACCAGCGTAGTTGCGGTAGGAAAATCGGGTGAGTTATCTAGAACATTTTCTGAATTCCGTCAAAGTGATACTTATTTTTGCTGTACTGGTGTACTCTGCCCTGTTCTACAAACAAGGAATAAATCTTCGTTACGCATTGAACTGGCAGAGAGGAATCTCGCATCTGTTGCTTCAGACCATCACTTCTCAGTTCAAATAGAATCCCATGCTTTGCAGGCTTCACAACTGGTTCTTTCACAAGAAATTCAATATCTTGAGAACTATGCTGAAATGAGGAAGTGTTTTGCAAGATTTTTCAAGCTGTGGCATTCAAGAATGGATTCACTTCAGGGTTTTTCAAATACTAGATTTTAACTTGAAAAGAGCATACCTGATTGAGTGATTTTATTTGAATGTGGCAAATCAACAAATTCAATTTTCTCTTTTTACTGAAGAAAATTTCTGCTTTCCCAAGTGTCCAATGGATCAACTGATTTTATGTAAAAATCTACCTTTTGAACATGTTTTCTGTAGTCCCATACACATCACAAGTTTTGAGGTAAATTGTGTAACAAGACATTCTTCTCTGTTGGATGTACAGTGAACTCTTGTTCAGCAAACTTGATTGGTTCCAGAAAAACCATTTTCTTAGCCTAATTTGATTTTTTGTGGACTACAATGTGGAAGAATTTAATCCATTCTGTGAACCCAAAGGACATTTGAACATGGACTAAAAAATTCAAGACTGTCAACAATAATCAGAATAAAGTTTTTGCTGCATCTCATGTGAGTTCAGAATGTTTTTACAGTGTTAAATGGAAGTAGAACTGATGAAAAAATCTTCATATCCTATCCTCAGAAATAGGTGAAAATGAATTTGTTTTAAGATGAAATATACCTTTCTAACAATTGAACAACTAGAAAAGCCAAGCACAGTAAAGCAAATAATTCTGTCATGGAAAAGCTTTTATGATCAATGTAGCTGAAACAAATTTTAAAACACAAGCTTGCACATATCAAGTGCCTGAAACTGAGAATTTTCATATCAGTGCATATACTTGAATGATTTGCACTGGGATAGTACCAAAAATTCCAGCCTTGAAATCAAATCTAGGATTTTTCCCTAGAATAAAAGTTTGTTAAGGGATTTCTCCAGGAGATGTAAATTTTGTTAACCAATGGTCCACTGTATAGCAAAAAGGCTGGTATACTATATGTGCTCCAACAGCACCAAAATGTGACTTCAGTCAAATCTATGTTTCATCTGAGTGAATTTTATAGTTTCAAAGCGTGAACTTGGATCTGACTGAGAGGAATGTTTTTGCAGGAGTTGTGATCACTGTTCAACCGAGGCCAAAATCTATTCCCACGTCATTTGTCAACCTCTTCTTGAAGTCCCTGGGGATGATGGTCAACGTGGACAAGAATATTCTCCCCGAATACGACTCGGTTGTTGCTCTGTTCGAAGAAAGCGTGGATGGTTTGGAAGCTGCCGAAAGTGTACTGAGGAGGGTAACGACTCGCGAATATCTGCAAAAAATCAGCCTTCTGCTCGAAGTGGGGAAACTGAGGTTTTCCAAGGAGCAGCATTCCTGCGTTGACCGAGTGTTGGAATGTATCAATTCCTATCTGAATGAAACCAACCAGTTTTGCAAACAGTTTGCAAGTCCGACAACGAGGCCTAATGTTCCTGCTGCTGCTTCACCACCTGGCAACCCCTCTCCTGATCCAATCGAAACTGTTGTGGTTGAAATGGAACTTGACAGCGAAGAAGAAGAAGAACAGCAGCAGCAGGAACCACAACAACAACAACAGCGCCTACGGCCTGAGAGAGTGTTGATACAGTGTTCTGGACCAACTAATGGATTACTTCCGCATCCGGAAAGGGAGATGAATGCGTCTTTGGCCGAAAAGGAAATCGTTCTTACGATTTTGAATTTGAGTGACGCAGAAACCGTGTCATTCATGTTTGAAGCTACCAGAGGCTTGGATAAGAAGAATTTAATCCGGCAGGTATGACAAGTAAACGGTAATCTTCTGCTGAGTTTTTTTTCCTGTATTTATGTTTACTTTTCTGTTTCAGTTCCTGGAATTGAAGAAACGTCTGACCTTACCTGAGGTGAGTTTCATGATGGTATAGGTGGTACTTCGCAATTTGACCCTAATCCATTGCCAAACAAGGGTCAAATTGCAAATTGTTTGAATTGCAAGACACTCCGTCGAATTCAAAATATAAGTACAAAGATGCAAAAAAAGAAGGAGACAGCAGGTGGAATTGCAGGGCAAGGGTAAAATTGCAAGTCAACCTTGCGGCAAATTTGGCCATTGAATTGAGGGATGGTCAAATTGTAAGGTGCCACCCATATTGGATCTGGAGGCCTTACATTTTCACTTGGGTAGTGTAGAACTGATGCACCTTAGCTAACCTTGCCTGATTTTCAAGGAACAGAATGTGATTTTGCTATCAGTCAATTTTTTTTGGTCAAACACAAGTCATACCTTTCAGCTAAATGCAGGTGATACCTTGCAATTCAGTGCTCAAATTTGCTGGGAAGCTGACTTGCAATTTGACCTATGCACCAAAATTTAATTAGCAAAGAGACACAGAATGTCAAATTCAATTTAGAAAACATTGCATGAAATGTTGTCTTGAAATTTGATTCCTTCACAATTTGACCTTATCCCAGCACTGATAGATTAGGGTCAAATTGTGGGCACCACTTGTATTGTGACTAACCTCTTGTATGTCTTGAATAACCTCACTGGATAATTTGACCCAGCATAATTCTAATTCTTTTTCAATGGAAATTTTGATGGAATCCCATCCCCAAGTAAAGGGTAATAATTTTCATTTAATATAAAAACCACAAAATTTCAGAATAAGAACAGTCAAATTCAAATTTAGACATGAGTTTGACCAATTTTCAATGTTTTCAATTAAAATGAGCTTTTCTGTTGAACTTCTTTCAAAATTTCTCATAAGAATCATATATAATGCACACATAAATTTCTGAAACCCCTTGAAAAATTTATAACCACTTATGATGTAGTCCCATTTTTCCTTTTGAAATTTGAGAAAAAAGTTGCGCAGGTACTTCAGTAAATGCAGTCACTTAAATTCTTCAATGAATCCAAAAATGTAGAGAAATTCTTGGAGAAGTTTTCAAATTTTGATTCACTGTCTGGACGTTGGGGGTAGATATTTTTCTTTTCTTTGTGTCCCTGAGTCAAATTGTCTTCATGTTGGGTCGTCACTGTATTTATTGACTTTGTGTGTATATCTCCTATCTAGAATCTATCGAAACAAACGGAATACATGAAAGAGGTGTCCAACCGGTGCCAACTGCGTCCGAATGCAACCCAGCCGGAGAAAGTTGAAGCCCTGCGTCGTGTTCGTGATCTTCTCGTGAAATACTACCGATTGAAACCAAAGACTTTGTTGTCGACACCAGTTGTGGCGCCGCCGCCGGCTGCCACAAACGGCGTCCCTCATCATTCTCGAACCGCGCCGGGTGCCCCTGGAAGACTGTTGGAGGAACTAGTGTTGCCGAGACCCAATGACCCGTCAGGAGTGGCCAATAATAATTGGCGTCGCGGGAAGCCCGAGGAATTGATGTTGTGCTGGTTTGGCCGTTGCAACGTGTGCAATAAGAACTGTCACCGACGGTTGCCGCATGCGACGGCCGACGGCTACACAATTTGCACGTCGTGCCAACGCCCGGGAATCGTGAAACGGATGAAGTGCAAATTCGGGATCAAGTGTCACGTGAAGAAGAGGGAAGACATGAAGGAGATGACGGAGCAACAGCGCCGTGGCGGCGAAGAAGTGTTGGACGCGAATGGTTGTGTGGTGGGCTGCTGGTGCAGCAGATGCCGGTCGTGTTCCGAGCTCCAGCATTTTGTGTCCGCCACGAGACCGTCTGTGCAGCAGTGTAACAAGTGTGGGAAGATTGCGCACTTTGTCATGGAACCTTGCACGCATTCGAGGTGTGTGCAGGAGAGGCTGGAAAAACGCCAGAGGGAGAGAGTGTGATGGAAGTGATGAGTGCAGTGATGGTTTTTCCGCGGACGAATATCCCTTTCTCTGCATGTTCTTTTTCTTTCTGTGTTTACGTGGTACGTTGAATGTGTGTTATTCGCTGTTGCTTCTATACCAGAGACTTTGTTTGATTCAACTGTGTGTATGTGTTTTCTATACGACTCTCGGTTGACTTCCAGTCAACCCCCGCTTTTTAAAACTGAGGAAAGAGGTCCATCTTTTATGAGTGGTTGTCACCAGATAGCGAGAGGTTTGCGTGAATTCCTATCCTATTCCGATTCTCATCATCTGCCCAAGAATATTAGGTTGTCACTTGGTTTTATATCCCTGGAGCTGTTGGTTTGACTTTTTTTTTTGGAGTCCTCTTCTTGAGGAAATGCTTTCCATACAGTGGGACCCCAAGATGCAGAGAGAATTCATGTAAGAACCTTGTTCATAAGTAAGGATGTCCACATGTTGGGCCGTACACTACAATAAATTTCGATGGGAATATTTTTAATTGGTTCTTTGGAAGATGATTAGCAAAAAAAAAGTCCCCAAGAAATTGATTGATTTTTTTTTTACTTTGGAATTACTGAAAATAAATGTGCAGAGGAAAGCCACACAGAATCTGATCTTTTGGCAACAGGAGGAGCTCAAGAAGCAAAGGATATGAACAAGTCCGTCTGTACTGAGCACCCATGATGGAAAAAAACTGAGAAAAAGAAGCACAAAATTAGCATCTTCTTGATTATGCAGTAGGGTTATTATTATATACAGCCAACTCAACCCCTGTCTAATGTACCTCCCAGCTAATGTACTCTTGTCTAATTCACCACCTTTACAGGCTGTTTTTCATTCTGTCTGATATACCAAATCTGTTCAATGCACTTCAGTTGCTTGATAATTAATGTCGCAAATTGAAATGCTTGACATTTTAGTGTGTAGGAAAAATAAAATTGTTCCCAAATACTTTTTACCTTGAGTATTTATCTGTTGCACTAATCAAGTGCATTATATGAGGGTTGACTGTAATGAATTTTGTTTTTATAATTCAAGTGTAAACAGCCTAATTTCTCTGAAAAATACAAAAATTTGGAGAATTTAATTTTCAAATTCTTCAAGAAATCTTGGAAAAGTGTCCAAATCTTCAGTCACAGTTCAGATGTTGGGGCTAGATTTTTTCATTTCTGCGTGTCCCCAATGTCTGTATTTTGGGGTGTTGGCATTTTTGGGTCTCACTGCATTAATAAGCTTGTGCCTTCCAGTTGATTGAACCACCCCCCCCCCTTCCCTCCCAAACTTGCTTTGCATAAGCAAGGTCATCTTTAGTGTTATTCTGCTGGTCTGTTGAAAACTTTTTTCCTGAAAGTTCATCAATTCCATGTTATCATCCATGAACATCGTTGATAGTTTAGGGTAGGCATTTATCATTTTATTATCATTTGAAAGGCAGGAAGAGAGATTCTGGTGGTTCTCATACTTGTTTTTCCTGGTGAAATGTTTGCTGATGCTTGAGGAATTCAGGATTTTTGGTGGTCTGTATATTTTTGTTGTGATTGTGCTGCAATTGAAAGATTGCCAAGGTCTATACAAAGATGATGGTTTTCATACCTTGTTCTTTGGACACTGTAGTGTTTTTCTTTGGAAGATTCCTTGCGTATGGCAGCTAATGAAGTGAACTCGATTTTTGCAGGATGTGACAAAGTGTTAACTGCACATATATCTTCTTTGCTTGTATCCTATCAGTCATTATCAAGCAAACATTCCGTTTGTGCATGAGTAGTGCTTGAAGCTTCTAGCTTGCATTTGGTCTGTGACTTACATATCCCTGATGTGTAATTGTTCATGTGAGAGTTTGGCAATGTCCGAAGTTTGCCAAAGTAATTTGAACTTTATTCATGTGTAGTTGAGAAAACTTGTACACATTTTTGGACAGGTTTTTGAGGAAAACCCCTTTTCACCCAGTGTTCTTCATCGGATGTTTTCCTGCAAGGAAGTAAGAGTTATTTGTTGATAATTGATTTGGAAAATTCATTGTGTGTGTGTATGTTGAGAAGTGTGAACAAAAAGGGCACTCCTTTGGAAGGAAACACCTGATAGCTGAGGAAAGCCAAGTGAGTGGATCCAAATCAAATTCTTGTCTGCAAAGAATTCAATGCAGGTGGTACCAGGCAATTTGACCCTAATCCACTGCTGGGCTAGGAATGAATTGTGAAGCAGTCAAATTGCAAGACAACCTCAAATGCAATGTTTTCTATGTCAAATTTGACATTTTGTGTCTCTCTGCTGGTTGAATTGCAGGGCAGAGGTCAGATTGCAAGATGACTTCCCAGCAAATTCAACTGTTGGATTGTGGGACAGACAAATTGGGGGATGTCAAGTTGCAAGGTACCACCTGTACAGTCTAATACCATGCTACTTATATGTTTCTGGATGGTGCTGGTTAATGCCTTCTATATACTATGTACCAGAATTCAAGGGCATTGTCCAAAAAGAAAGAAAAGGAGCATTCCATTCATTATCCTGGAAGGCATCTTTGATGTCATCCAGGGCATGGAAATTGCTTTTGGGGTGAAGAGAATTCTTGCAGAGACAGTCAAACTTGAGTGTTGACTGAACCATTGAAGTAACGGACACCTATATTAGGAGTGAATTGGCAAATGATGATAAGCAGGTGTAACTTGTTATACCTGCTTTGTTGTTGCAAAAGGAGTAAAATAAGTTGTATATGAATATTCCACCAATATTGGTCCATTCCCAGCAAAAATGTTGGGAGTTGGAAGCTGGGGCGCTGGCAAAAGGTAGTTA